AAAAAAAAATGAAAATCAAAGCATCCCTTTATTTGGTCGTCCACAAAAATCCCTTCGATTTCAAGACGAACCCTTTCAAATTGTGATAATGAAAATTTAATAATACCCTTTTCTCTCACTTTCCCTCGATTTAAATGGGGGTGGCTGCGAGGCGGGTAGGTTTGCAGGATTTCTAGGGTTTATGTGAGAGGGAAAACAAGAGGGTGGCTATTAACCGCTACAAGTTACTGTGCCGAATATTTTGCACCGTTGGATCAAACTACTAGAAGAGCTGAGATTTATGGAATTTGATGACTTTTGGGAATTTGGTTCGAGGAGGTGGCGGGTCCCTTCAAAAGTAAAAAATTGGGGATATTTTTTAAAAATTTATGCAATTTGCTCCCTTGATTAGTGTCTTATTACATCTAGCTCTCACTATTATTTGTTTATCACATCCAGCTCTCTCTTGGTGTTTTTCGAGTCTAGCAAAACAAATTAGGGCAACAGGCAAACATGGTATACTAACTGCGAAGTTAACTTTTTTTTTTTTTAAGTAAAATACGTAATTATTCAAATTTAAAATAATAATAATCGTTAACACAATACAGAGAAAAGAAAAAATACGAGTATAAATTAATAAATAAAATAGTTCATTCTTACTGGTTCCGGCTAGGGGTTGATCGGATTCTGGGTCGACCTGACGGACCAATCCGGGTTGAAAAACAACGCAATGTATAAATTAATAAATAAAATAGCAATCGATAAATTTTTGGTTGGTTGAAAAAATTTAAAAGGTAAAAATCACATTATGTAGTAAATCATTGGGTGATAAATACAAGTAATATAATTATTTATTTAAAAATTTATCTTGGGAACTATGTCCGGTCATGTGTATAATAAAATTTTGTATCATTAATCTCACCATGTATTATTGACAGTGTCAAAGTATACTCGTCAATAATTAAATTAATTATTGTAAACAAAATTGTTATAGTAATGCGTATAACAGATCTATGGTAAATTCTTACTCGTCAGAGTACTTAAATAAACTAGTCATTGGTAATATGATGGAACTGTTGGTTCTGATAATATGTAATAAAATCTGAATTGAACTGTTGGCTTCATAGTAAAATTGTGTATCGAAGACCATTTAGTGCATTTGTGAAAATGAACATATTTATTGAGAATAATACATAGTTTCACAAACAATATGTAATTTTTCATTTTTATAGTTTAATTTTGTGCGAGTGTATTTTGATCTTTAAGCCCATGGCGAATCTATCTCAACATTCAACTAACATTGATGATCTATGAGTAACAATCATTCTACTTTTTTAAGTGGATGCGAAATTTTAAAAGAAGATATCGATAAACAAATAACTAATCCTTTGTAGATTGTATGTCTACTTTGTGAGTATATATATTTCAACAAAAAATAATAATAATTATTATTATTATTATGAGCTAGCGATCGAGCTAGAGTTAAAAAAAAAAAATAACTTACTTAAAAACAATCCGCTATTGCAATAAACTTGATCAAACACTTCAACTTATATAGTTCATTTCGAACCAAAAGAACAAATAAACTATTTACTAAACCCTCAAATATCAACAAGTTTAAACCAATCTATCATACTCTTATATATGACATTATGAACCCAAAAGTACATATATAAAATCACTATATAAGGTAGTCAAGCCGAACTTGCCTCGCTACTCGTCTTCTTATTCCTTTTCCCACTTTTATTCCCACGCCCGTTTTTGCTCGCGGCCCCACACACTATCGTGAACTCAATCCCATACACCAAGCACGAAAACAAGCCCCCATCTGAACTCCTCCGCGAGTGCCTCCTCCTCCCATCCTTGTCCCACAATAGCTCCGACTCATCGTCGTTGTCTTCAGAGGCCGCCATTGATTTTCGCCACCTATCCCGAGTTGAGACCCGCCTATAGCCCTTGGCTCGGGCCTCCTCGATTGTGAGCTCCTCAAGGATAGAGCTACCCGTCTCGTGGTGGTCAACATGCTCATATTTTCTAGGGTTTGGTATATTTTCAGGCTGCGGTTGGAGTTTTCGAGACATTTCAGCTGCCACGATGGAGGCTGAAGGCCCGATATCGGAGCAGAGTTCGGAGCCATTCTCGACAGTCGACCCATTACAAATTGAGCCCGATTTTAATGGGAAGTCATCATTGTTGGCAACCTCCGAACTGCCGACACTTAAGGACCGCCATAGGTGGATTTTCGAGTTTAGTTCTTTGTTGATGACGTCATCGACATTGTCATCATGGACCTATGTGAAGGGGAAAAGAAGTATGGTAATAACAGTATGATATTTTGTAACATAACAGAACGTGTTAGAACTTAATAAAAGTATGTTGATTTTAGGCGAAAACACTAAAATACATACACACACACACACATATAATATAAAACCTGTTTAGCATTTTCGTGGTGATAATTACG